TGGGGCAAGGGGTTTTTAGTGTATATAATTTTAAAATTATTAAATTAAAATAAAAAAGAAATAAATGGTGAAACCCCTCGCCCCCAATCCAGTTACGCCACTGCTCGGAGACGACCATATCAGGGTCCTTTTGCCTGTTGGAATAACTGACTCCTAAAATTTAGAGAGTGGGCTAAATTTGAATTTTCAGTGAGTAAACAAAAAAAAAAAAAAAAGAAAAAAAGGACACAACACAGTACACATCTTATTCAAAACAGAAATTTATTCTTTTATTTTCTTTATAGTTTATCCGTAGGTTTAGTCATTCTATCCAGTTATGTCGATTTTCAATTAATTTATTTTGCTTCTTGCCAATTTTAGGGTGTGTTTCTCCGGAGGTTTGGATTTTGAGTCTGGATTTAAATAATAAAAATTTTAAATTTGAATAGTTGTACGATGTGATATAAATAGGCGTTGATGTGATGTTTTGAATGTAAAATTGATTTTCAGTATAATATAAAAAATGAAAAATAGGTATTTGATTTAATGTTTTTTGGGGGAAAAAAATGAAATGAATAGTAGAAATCTAATCTAATCCCCCAAACAAACACATACGCTTTCTATTAGAGTTTAGATAGTATTTCATAGATTCAACCGCTAACAGGGACGGATCGACCTTTTGTGGAATGGTAGCACGTGTCATTAGTGATTTTATTTATCAAAAAAAATATTTTATGATTTAATAAATCTATTACCACTAAAAAATTGTAGTGCCCCTATTTAAAATTTAAAATTGCATTATTATTTTTTTAAAAAAGGTGAATTATTTAAAATTTAAAATATCAAACACCTAAATAATTAAAATTCAATCCAATTAAAATAATTAATTTATATTCTAAAACATAAATATACAAAATAATATTACATTATTATTATTTTTTAATAAATCAAATTATATAATTTATTTTATTTTTAAGTTTATATATTGTTGAACCAATAAAAAATTTTATCCACAGCTGACGACTAAGATCTAGGATCACCTAGAGGCTTGACTGGTAAAGAGGTCCGAAGTGTTGGACTTTGTAGAAGGCTTGGATGGAGCCTCGCAGAAAATTAAATTTCGATTCCAACAAATATTTTAAATATAAAATTATTCTTAATGTAATATAAAAGATAATAAAAAAAAAATTAATGTATTATTTTTCTTTAAAAGAAATCATAAATTGTATTAAAAAAAATAAAAAAATAAAAAACAAGCAAAAACAACCTTTCTATGACACGCGAAAATTCACGAAATTTTAATAGGATGTATCCATTACACCACTGATATATTCAATTTTTATTTTATACTCTAAATTTTGAGATTTTAGATGTAAAAATAGGTGAAAGAGATGAGGATTTAAATAAAAAAGCGATTTAGTAAATGTAAAATTTAATATAAATATAAAATTACACAGTAAACTAAATTGCATATATTAAAATATTAATATGAAATAAAATAATATAAGTCCAGTTAAATACAGAATCTATGGAAAAATCTCCATAGCAGGTAGCTTGCACTCTTTTAAAGAAATGAAATGATAAAGGAATTTTAAAGTGTTACTTACTAATTAAATATATATTTTAAAGTTCTCTCTCTTCTAATTTTTTTTTAATGACTTGGAAATTCGCAGTCGTTATTCGAAAGTGCAGGTAAATTTTTGATCGAATCTAATACCTGCAAATTAGGCTTGACAAGGCAAATCAAGCTAGACCAAAAATGTGTGGCAAGTGACCTGAGACGTCGGGGGTTTGAACTCATGACCTCTGATACTATTTGTAACGTGCCGGAAGCTGACACGCCCGGTGCCCAGGCCCAAAGGCCCAAGCCAGCCGTCCCTTGTGCGCAAGAAGCCTGGGTATACAGTATAATGTGCGGGATAAATAAAACGGAACATGTAGCTTCACCAAGACATATGTCGTTGATTAATTGTACAGGACCGGGGCTCGTACACATGAGACGGACTATGGCCGAGAACTTGGGCAGAAATGTCAGTTCGTGACACTTTCCCCCACTTCAAGTCGCAAACGCCCTCGTACGACGCCATTTGAGTGCACCGACGTTGTTTCTTGCACGTTGGGCTTGCCTCCAGATGTCACTCCATTGACCCTTTCGCGCGTACCTTTTGTGCTCACGAACCGCTAGCGAGGTTTGCCATAGCCGACCCACAACTCGCCTACTCCGCCGCTCGTCTCCAACACCATCCGGGGCACCCATGTTGCGACTTCTCCATTCTTCACCTGAGAATCGTCCTCGACGTGGTTCCGCTCTCACGAACAAAGCTCGCCCACCTTGGGGCAGGTTATTCCTTACACGACAAATTCTTTTAATAATATATATTCTCTACATTCATTAGTAAATTTTTTATTTGATTTTATACGATGATTAAGGTAAATTAGTATTTTATAAATATATATTCTAATAAAGCTATATAATATATATTTTATCCTTGAAAAGTAGTGTGAAAAGTAAAACTTAAGAGTATTTTTTATATAATTAGTTGAGAGTTACTATTTTTTCAATAAAAAATAAAAAAATTATAATTTGAACAATCTAAAATAAAAGATTTAATCGTGGATGAAATAAATATTTTTTATTTTAAAAATACTAACACCTTCACTTATATAAAAATTAATAAAATAATATTTTGTCATAAAAAGAATAAAATAATATTATAATCACTATAATTAACCTATTAAATTACACTATCTACACTATTTTATGAGAGATGGGGAAGTATTATTTATTCACATTAAAATATGTGCCAACTTTTGGATGAAAATGGAAATATAAAATAGTACTAAGGGGGCATGGGATTTCCTGTTCGATATTCGCCCATGTCCTTCCTGTCTATCCAATGAAAGTTGTACACGTGGATATGTTATTTATTTATTTTTTTAAATTAAAATCTAAAGTTGCAGAAAAATTGCAAAAAGATTCCTGGATGGTTGGATGTCTCCTCGTCATTTCCATCTTCCCCAGAGCCTGCCGCGTTAATCGAAATTTTTTTTTCTCAGCTTCAACCTTCGTCGGCCACCTTCCAGAGCTGCCGCCGCCAACCAAGAAGCAATTTTTCTTGTCATCGTCTTCATCGAGTCATTGTCAACCTCCGCACTAGCACCTCAGGTATCTATCCAATTAAGGCTAATTTAGGAGTTTTCTTTAAAAAAAAAAAAACAATAAATTTTGGGAAGCTTTTGTTGGTTTGTGTTGTAATTTGAATTTTTATTTTGTAAATTTTGTATGATTAAATTTTGGACTTGAGTTTAGTAATTAGAATTGTGTAAGATTTACAATAGAGGTAGTGTCATGATTCCAAATGCGAAGTTGCTGCAGTGCCTAAAAATGATGGAGGTGGTGGGGCATGATTTTGAAGCTATTATTAGTTTTATTCTGTAATTTTTGTAACCAACATAGTAGTATTTTATAGAATCGGATTTATTTGCTTATTTGTTGTGGCATTTGTCTGCTCAAGCTTCTTCTGTTGCTTCACCAATAGAAACACAACCAACATTTAGCCCTAAATCGTCTGATAGACAATGATGAGACAAAATTGTTTCTTGGTAAATGGTGGCAGTTCTAGAAGGTGGCCGACGAAAGTTGAAGCCGAGGAAGAAAGACGATGAATGCGGGCTCTGCTGCTTTAGGGGAAGATGAAAATGATGTTGGGGAGGGCTCCACGGACCGATTTGCAATTTCTCTTCAACTTCAAATTTCAATTTTCAAAAAGAATAAAAAGAAACATAATAAACCATGTGTGGTCTCTTCATTGGATGGACAGGAAGGACAGAGAGTGGATGTTGGACAGGTGATCCCAATTTCATCAAATTTTACTCTTTTGGACTATATGTTTTTCGAAAAAATACATTTTTTTTTTCACAAAATATTTTATCAAGTATTATTTTAATATCAAACTCAACCAAAAGAAACAAACCCTTGGTATCTTGATATCTATTTTGCTATTTCTTTTACAATTCAAACAATAAGTATATTTATTTAAGTAAATAATGGATTTTACTGTATATTTTGTCCGTCTCAATTCAAAGTACTCTTTTTACCATTGTTATTCGTTCTACAATTAAGTTTGGATTTAACTTATAGACTCTTTTTACCATTGTCATTGAGTTTGGATTGAATTTGAATTTTAAAATGAATTTGAAATTTTTGTTTCTTTAAGTCTATATGTTTGGTTTGAGTTTTGAGTGTTTTAATGTATATTGATTTGATAGGTAATGATTATATTGGTTTAATAATACTCCCTCTGACTCATTGGAAGGGTAGCATTTGTTTTTTACACGTAGATTTTTTAATATTAGTATTATATTAGATTGTAGTAAAAAAGATAAAAATACCCCTATTAGTATAGTGTAATATAAAAGTAATGACATTTGTATAATACAATGTAAGTTGAAAGGATATTTATTATGTTAGGTAGGTAGTAAAATTACTAAATTAGGAAATTATAACTTTGTTTTGAGACGGACGAAAATAGAAAATGGTAGTCTTTCAATGAGGCGGAGAGAGTATAATCTAATAATGATTTTTTTAAAATAAAATTATGGAAAAAATAAATAAAATAATTTGGAGTTTATGATGTCTTTAAAAAACTATTGTATTTTTTTACAAAAAAACATTATAAATAAATTATTAAAAAAAAAAGAAAAAAAATACACTACAAACCAAAACCCTTCTACAGCCACTATTACCTAGGTATGTCAACGGGACGGGTTCGAGACGAGTTTTGTAGGCCCCGAGACTCACCCTGCTAGAAAATATTAGGATTTAAGACCCGCCTTGCCCCATCTCAACCTGGCCCAAGGACCCGTCCTGTCCCCAATCCTCCGAGTTCGCGGCCAATCCCAAAAATCTGCATTATTAAAGAAAAGAATAATATAAACTTTTTTAAAAATAATTTAATACTTAAAAAAAAGTATGCAATAAAGTTGTTGATTATAGTTTATTCCATCCATTTTGTTGTGTGATGATCATTACGGGAGATGATGATCATGGTATTTCTGATCTACAAGCATATCTTAACCAGCAGTTTGAGATGAAGAGCTTGGGTCCCCTTCGTTACTTTTTGGGGCTTGAAGTCTCTGATTCTCCCGATGGTTTGTTTCTGTCCCAGGCTAAGTATGCCTCCGATCTTCTTGCTCGAGCTGGTCTCACAGACTGTTAGGTAGCATCTACACCACTTGCGTACGACGTTCGACTTACTCCTCATGATGGCTCTCTTCTTGATGATCCTACTCTTTATCGTCAACTTGTTGGAAGTTTGATCTATTTGACTGTCACTCGACCAGATATCGCTCATGCAGTCCATATTGTGAGTCAGTTCATGGCAGCTCCGAGGACCTCTCACCACTCTGCCGTCTTACATATTCTTCGTTATGTGAAAGGTACTCTTCTGCATGGCTTACAGTTCTCCTCTAACTCCTCTTTGACTCTCAGCGGTTACTCTGATGCTGATTGGGCTGGTGATCCCACCGATCGACGCTCGACCACTGGTTTCTGCTTCTTCGTGGATGATTCTCTCATTTATTGGCGCAGCAAGAAGCAAACTTTAGTTTCTCGCTCAAGTGCCGAGTCAGAGTATCGTGCTCTTGCTGACTCTACTTCAGAACTTTTATGGCTTCGACGGCTACTCACTGACCTTGGTGCCCCTCAGCCATCTTCTACGGCTCTTCACTGTGATAGTCAGAGTGCTATGAAGATGACCCATAATGATACCTTCCACGAGCGCACCAAGCATATTGAGCTTGAATGTCACTTTATTCGACAACATGTTGTCAATGGAGTAGCTCATCTCATTCCAGTATCTTCTGAAGATCAGACAGCAGATATCTTTACCAAATCTCTTCTTCCAGGCCGTTTCCGATTACTCTTGGACAAACTCAAGTTGGTCTCTACTGCACTATCTTGAGTTTGAGGGGGGATGTTGAGATATTATAAATATTCGATTTTAAATTTAGTAGATTTATATCTAGATTTGATCGTATCCATAGATTAGATTACTTAGATTTGAGTTTATTTTGTATTGCCTATATATAGGCTTCTTATTTTGATAATCATGATGACCATCTCATTATTTTCCCTCAAAATTTCTAACAAAAGTACCAAAAAATTATAGTTTTAAAAATAAGGACAATCAAATATTGACAATAGTCCGCAGAGAATTGTAAAAAAAATAAATGTGAACACAAATTTAATTTAGATTTAAAGTTCTATTTTATGTTTAAAATTTTTAAATAAATAAATAATATAATTTATATTGTATAAAAATATAAATAAATTATAATAATTATTAAAGTATTCGGATTATAGTCCAAAGAAGAGCGAATTTTTAATAAAACCTATAACCCATCCTGAACCCGGCCGAATCTAAAACTCAAAATCCGCAATCCGCAGCAAACTAAATTTTTTAGACTCAACCCACCTTATTAAAATCGAGTCCAGGGCTAACCCGCCTCATTTGACATCCGTGCTATCACCGCACCCTCCTCCTCTTCCACAGTGTCTGTCTTCTTCTTTTCCCGTCTTTTTCGATTCTTCTTTTTTTTCTTTTTCTTTTTTTTTTTCTTTTGTTTTATCATTTGTGTTTTATTATCTCTTCATCTCCGACACATAGAAGACACTCCGATCTTCAACGAAGCAGATGAATTACTGCACCGGTGAAACATTCCAGAAAAAGCACAGTCGATTTTTACATTTTCCCAACAAATTCAATAATAATAATAATAATAATAATAATAATAATAATAAATTAAATAGTAAAAAAAAAGCAATACTGCTTTTTCAAACAGTCATAATCTACAAAATAAGCAGCTTGATTAGTCTGTTATGATTATAGATTATGATTAAAGTATTTAAATAATATAATTAAAATTATAAAATTAAAATATAATTAAAATTGTTGGGGACTCCCGTCTGTAGATATATAATTAATGGTTGCATTTTTTTTTTTTAATAGTTTGAGTTTTTAGGTCAGACAGTCATTCAGCATCCGACATGGTATCAGAGAACTTAGACTAGGGTCTCGAGTCCCGTCTGTCCGCATCTGCGGTCTGTGAATGAGAGGTGATTTTATTTTGATTTGATATTTAAATTTTAATTTAAAGAATATTTTGATGTACTTTTGTTTGTTATAATTATATTATTTTTGTTGTCAGATTATATTTATGCATAATTTATTCATATTAAATAATTTATTTACCTATAATTTTATTACTTTTTTATTCTAATAAATAATTAATTAATTTGTCACTAATATTACCATTTATTATATTAATTTTTTTATCAAGTATTTAATAATTTTTTATACTTCTATTTTTATTTTTTATATATTTTACTTTTATATTAAAATATGATTTATTTTTATTCATCGTACCCAAAAAAAAAAAAAAAATTGACATAATTAGCTTAATAATATTTTACGAAAAATGATGATGTATTTTTATTAAAATAAATAATATTATTTTACCTTTAGTTCTTAGAAATGGTCAAAACAATATATCCATGTGAGATGGAGAAAGCGACATGCTTTTTGTCTTCAAAGTTTTATTTATGTTTGTATTTAATACTGGAATTTTTAATGAAATAGGCTCTGACTTGCACGTTCTTAGACTTGTTGAGCTGCTTCCTTGTCTCTATTTGGTATTTCTTTATTTTTCTTTAAATAAAAATATATATTTCTAATCGCGGGCCTTAATATTGTTTGGTCTCAAGATATTTCCAGATTTTTTCTTTTTTTTTTTACTAAAGAATTTTATTTTGAATTTTATATTTTAATAATATTTAATTTGATAGTTTAGAAAAAATATATATTTAAAAATAAAATCCAAATATTAATTTTTTTAAAATATCTTTCAAAAAATTACCCAAAATTTGGCGACAGATTTACTATAATGTTGCAAAATAGAAATAATTATTACTCCCTCGAAATTGGTCTGTTTCTTTTGGACACAGTTCAAAAAATATCGATATAAATACTTAATTAGTTAATTAATCGATGTAATATTTTAAAGTAAATTATTTTCATATTTTTTAGATAAAAAAATAAAATAAAAACCATTCAGAACCGGCACCAGCCTGCCCAAAACCGGGATACTCATTTAGAATATGACTCTCATCAACTAAGCAGCAATCAACTCCTAAAGTACAAGTTCATTCAAAAAGAAATTCAATAAGAGAAGAAAGAATTTAATGTAATTAAAACAATATCATAAATTTATATTCCATAAAAATATTAATCAAACCAAAACCTCAAAAAAATTCCCACCAAAAGATTTCCCCAAAAAAAAAAATTCATCAAAAACTGTCCATTTAATTTCCTTTACAAAAATCAATCGCAATTCCTAAACAAAATTAAAACACAACAGCTAAAAGTGAGTGAATCCATATGCCATTTTCAAAATACAACATTCATCCACAGCAATCCACATGCTATATTTTAAAATTTAATTGCTTAGCCAAAACACAATTCAGACATTACCCTACATTTACAAAAAATAGCTCCCATCATTTACAAAAATAACATACAAATACCCTTCATAAGTTGTTGCATACTACTACTTTCAAAATGCACATTCATCCCTGAACTTGTTGCACAACAAGCATTATACTCAAAACCAACACCCATCCATACTAGCAGGTACAAACAGATATAAACAAACGTCTTAGGAAGCATCAGTGTTTTTTCTATACACAAAGGTAAATAGGGTCTTAATTTGGATAACATACCTCATACCACAATTCACTTACAATCTTTGTTGTTATCTAGGTCTGTATCTTGTTGCATGAGATCAAAATCAACCTGTGAATGGGAACCAAGAAAGACATTAGTGTGTAAAAAATAAATGATTATGCAATTCCTACTACATCATTGTATAAATTGAAAACCTAAACAGGGTGCAATTTATGAGGCAGCAAAACGATATTCAATATATTCTCGAGCGGTGAATCGTTTATGGACAGAAGCAAAGAAACAACAAAGCACATGCGAGGCAATAGCATTGGTGAAATGGAAATATAAACCAAGAGCTAAAAAACAGCTTGATCCTGTCTTAGTTGAAAGCATTGTGCCACGTAAACGTGGCATGATACGAAAGTTTGCCAAACAAATCAATTGCTCAAAGTTAATGGTTTGGCGATGGATTCAATGTGGTGCAATTAGACCACATACTAGTGCTATAAAGCCTACCTTGACAGCTCCCAATAGACAACTCCGACTTTCATTTGCTCTTGAATCAATTATTTGGGAAGCTAGACGAAAAGTATTGGAGTTTAAAACAATGAGCAACACAATTCATATTGAAGAGAAGCGATTTTACCTTACTCAGAGCACAAAAATGTTTTATTTAACACCAAGTAAGGTTGACCCAGATTGATCTTGCCAGAGTAAAATGTTTATCAGGAAAGTGATGGTCATGTGTGTTGTTAGTCGGCCTATCTTGCTCCAGATGGTACTACTCTTTTTTATGGAAAGATAGACATTTTTCCATTCACACGTATAATTCCGGCAAAGAGGTCAAGCAAAAATAGGCCAATTGGAGCTTTGGAGACTAAGGCGGTTGATTCTATCATAAGAGATGTAGTAAAAACTTGCCTAATTAATCAGGTATATATATAATTAGAAGCCAAATAATGATGTTTAATGATTGTGTTAATTTATCAGTACTTTTTTTAATTTAATGTTTGATGTTTATCGTGTTTTATAAAATTTCAGGTGATTCCAGCTATAAAGGAGAAATGACCGTCTTGCTTAAGTAAAACAATTTACATTGAACCGAAACCGCATATTCGCAATGATGATGTTGATTTCCAAAAAACAGCTAGTAGTGATGGATTCAATATTCACTTGATTAATCAACTACCAAATTCACTTGATCGTAACGTAAATAACTTGGTATGGTTTCGTGCAATCCAAATTATCCAAATAGAGTTGGATTGCTAACGGTGGATGATTTGGTTATTGTTGTACGTTTGTCATTTGATGGTTTCACGGTGCAAAACTTAAACAATGTGTTTCTTAGTCTACAAAGTTATTTTGTTGAGATAATGAAGGCTAGATGACACAACAATTACAAGATTCCGCACATAAACAAGCATGGATTAATTCGAATGAACGAGTTGCCTATTAATTTGGGTGTATTTATTGCTTAAATGAATTAGGCAATCAAGATCACATTGGATTGTTGATAAACTTTGTTTGTATTTAGAAGCACTTAATGCTTAATATGTTTGTGCTTTGTTTTTTACGACCTACCATAGGGTTGTTTTTGATAAATAGATACATATATTTTTGTATATGTTATTTTTTAAAATTTTATGTTTATATTTTGTAGAAGCTGATGTATAAACTAAAGCATAGACAATGATTCAACCCTATTTATATGATGCATATTGATATGAAAAGTTACTCGGTTCTAATATGGATGATGCCCATTTACAACATATTTTTCGGTTACAAAGCCATTTTCCTGCATGTATGTAAGTGATTATTAATAGCTTTATCATTTTAAATAATTGGATAAAGTTTACAAAGAACACTCACCTGTGCAATTATTTATGGTTGTTCGTGCTTCCTATATGTATGTGGAAATAAAAAAAAATATTAGACAAACTAAAAGAATAACCAAAGAAGAATAAAAAATAATCCAAAAAAACAGAATACAAGATTATTACATCTTGATTTTGGAAGGAAACATAACCAAACACGATTGATTTACCATATCCAACTTAACTTTTGCAGACCTATCTATTATTTTATTAAAAAAACACCCCAACTTTATTATGAAAAAAAATAATGTTGAAAATAAAAGTGGATGAAGAATTAAGTAGTTGCAAAACATACCAGGAAGATGAGAAAACCGAAAAAAAAAAATCAAGCAACAAACCATCAGTGACATCGGAACTCAAATCAAAACTACTATGGTGAAGTGGTGTACATAAAATCTAACATCAATTACACATATATATATATATATAAACAAACTAAACTATAGAAATATTTTCTAATAACACTTACTTATAGTACCCTTTGATGTCTTGTTTGTTCTATCAATTTCCATTGGGATTGATCAAACTTCGTTCCTATATTTGTTGTGCTCCTGTGCAAAAGAGGGTAGCTATGTTTAAAGAAAAATATGACACTATCATATTTCCTAAGGTTTTACATGTGAATCCGACAAAGAAATAGTAAAATAGTAAAGATTTAACCAGTTAGTATTGTTGTTCTTAAATAAGCAAGGAAAATAAATCCTTTGCATGAGCACTACTGCACTATTGTCGCAATGTTAGAATCATCAGCCCAATTTGGATCCATTTTCCGATTTCCAGTCGCCATCCTATTGACCTTCTGATCTATTGCTACCGGTCATTCAAAGCCCTCACCCGCATAGTTTGATGTTTCCTCAAACATATAAAAAATATGTGATTTGAATTTGGGAGAGTCAGGACTCAATGAGTCAGGTACCACGTCGTAACATTCTAATATGCTATTAGTTCCCTCGGGTGAACATAATCGGCTTAAACCTAACATAGACGTCGGTTCTTTACCTTGAGAATACATTGGCTATAATGCAAACCTAAAAAAACTAGTGGATACACATAAAGTTGAATGTTAAAGGGAAGACATAATTTTTAAATAAATAAGAATAATTAATTACAAAAATATTTTTGAAAATTAATGAGGATAATTGTAAAAATATTTTGCAAACAAACTGACGAACTGATTTTTTCTAGAAATGCAAATAACTAGCCTTCACTTCCAAAAATAACGATCGATAATAACTTCCCACTGTATTGTTTATGCAAAGTTTTCAGATTATAAACACCACAACAAAAGTGTTGACTATATTTTCACTCATTCTAAATCAAAATTTACCCCTATGATAGATTTCTAACAAAATTCATGTAGTCTCGAGTGATTTCATACGAAGCGCATATCGTCACAGGAAAGTTCATCTTATCGTAATTGATTTCCAATTAAATCATTTTAAGCTAAAAAAAATAAAGAAGATTATTAAAATTTTCAAAAAATTTAAAACCCAAGAAAACCCCAAAAACTCAAGAAAATCAAAACCACTAAAGATGTACAAGTGCAGAAAATAGAACGGAAAGAACTTAATGAAGTAGAAAGCCTATTTCAAGCGATGCCGAGTAAATCATGACTAAATAAGTTGAAATCGCAACTAATATACATCAAAATAGAAACAATAATGAAAAAAATCAAAATAGAAAAACTTCATCGAAAGGAACCACCGAATCAATAAATCGGAACTACTCCAAATAAGAACATAACATAAAATTGCTTAGATATTGAAGTAGTACTTGATTTCCGCTAGCATCGACAATGGGCGCAATAAAATTTTTGATTTCAACCCGTGTAGCATAAATGACAAAGAAGCGACCAAGAAGCCGATCGAACGAAGAAGGGTTTGGAAGGTCGAAATGGGTGTTTCATTTGCTCTGTACTATTTTTATTTTTTTTATTAAAAATAGAATTTTAGATTATTTTTATTAATTTAGTTGGTTAGAGTAATTAGGGTAATTATTTTTTTGATTTAATTTTATATTTGTTAATTATTACCAAATAAGGAAGTTGAGTAATTTGGTGGGACAACTAAAAATGGAAAGATAGACTAATTTTGTGGGACGGTAATCAACTCAAATTTTGGGTTTTCAACGGCCAGAATGATTAGGTCCATCGGAAGAATGGGATAAGAGGGTTTTCGGTCGACTCATTTGTTGGTTATTTGGAAAAAATTGAATTTTGTATATTATTTCCACAAACACAGTAAACACTACTTATATGTAAATAAGGTAGTTAGGTAATATTCATATATATAATAATATATACTAACATTCCCCCAAACTCAAGGTGGTGCTACAGACATCAACTTGACTTTGCATAAAAGAAGATAAAAATGACTCGTGAGAAGAGATTTGGTGAAGAAATCCGTCGATCGATCATCGGTGAAGATCGAACGCAACAAATAATCTTGGAAACCATGTGTTTCCTCACACAGTGACAATCGATCTCAATGTGCTTTGTGCACTCATGAAAGACATCATTATGCATAATCGGTATGACACTCTGATAGTCGTAATGAAGAGTAGTAGGCAAGGACTAAGGGCACCAAGAAGAGATAGTAACCAACGAAACAACAGAAGTTCAGCTGTAGAATCAATAAGAGCGTGTACTCGGACTCAATACTAGACTTAGAGACGATTTTATGCTTCTTGCTGCGCCAGAGACCCGAGAGTCACCAAGGAAGAACCAAAACCAATAGTAGATCTACGATCGGTGGGATTTCTTAACCAAATTGCATTAGAGTAGCCCGAAAGAACGAAGGATGAGTGAGCCGAAAAGTAGAGACCATAAAAAAATGTACCCTTAACATAGCGAAGAATATAGATCATTGCAGAATAATATGCAATCTGCCAAGCAACCATAAACTGACTAACAATATGGACGGCATGGGCTATGTCAGGACGAGAGACAGTGAATAAATCAAAGATCCAACCAGCTAACAATAAAAAGTCAAATTTGTCAAGCAGAACACCATCCCGAGAGGTAAGGTGATTGTTCACCTCAAGAGGTGGGCATGTGATCTTGTTATGATTCAGGCCATCACACGAGATAAGGTAAGATGCATACTTTGCCTGAGACAAGAAGAAGTCGTCCAAAGTGTTAGAAATTTCAAGTCCCAAAAAATAGCAAAGATTACCAAGACACTTCATTTTGGAGTGCTAACGAAGGTAGGCCTACAAATTAGAAATACTAGAGATGATGTCTCCAGTGATAATCATATAGTCAACAAACAACAATAGAATAATAATCCCAAATGAGCTCCGACGAATAAAGAGAGCTGAGTCATGAGTACTATAAGAGAAAAATCATACTAGGTAAGAGCTGAGCTGAACTTGGAAAATCAAACCTAAGGAGCCTGTTACATACCATAGAGAATCCGACGCAAGTTTCCTACCTTGTCAGATGTCTCAATACTTGGCGGAGGACTAATGTAGACATCCTCGATCAAATCACCAAGCAAGAAGAGATTTTTTACATTCAATTGATGCAGTGACCACCAACGAACAGCAGCAATTGCAAGTAAGCACCGAATAGTAGAAAGATGAGCAACCGGAGAAAAAATTTCTTTGTAGTCAATACCATACTCCTGATAATACCTTTTTTCTACAAGACGAGCTTTGTAGCACTCAATTGAATCATCGGAGTGAGTTTTAATCTTATAGACCCACTTGCACCCAATAGGGTGTTTGCCCGGCGATAGAGGGACAAGATCCCAAGTGCCTATTTTCTTAAGAGCCTATAGTTCCTCTAGCATAGCTTGCCGCCACAAAGGATCAGTTTTCGCCTCCCAAAAGGACCTAAGTTCTACGGTGAGGTAATATGACAAAATAGCAATGATAATCGAGAAGGTGAGTGAGGGGGGTGGGGGGCTGACTTACACGAGTAGAATGGCAGATAATGGCAGTAGGGACATCGGGAGAGGGCTCGGACACAGGTTCATGAGACATAGGCGGGTCCGCTGGAGAAGACAAAGACGAGGAGACTGTGTCAGAAGAATAAGATGTAAGCTTAGTACCTGTAGAAGTAGGAAAGAGTAGACAGAGATCTTAGGTGAGAAACAGTGAGGTAGAGCGATATGAGACATTGAATTTGGACACCGATGAGAAATATGATACTCTCCGAATGTGACGTGATGATAGATACAAAGACATTTAGACACGGGATTCCAACATCGATAATCCTTATATTGTATCACATAACCCAAGAAGCAACAAAAAACGAGCCCACGGTTCAAGCACTATGCGTTCGTGAGGTAGGAGGAGAATAAAACAAACACAGCCAAACAGACAAAAATTAGAGTAATCGGGGGACTAACCAAAGAGCTTGTAAAAAAAAATGGCACCGTGAAGAACAGATGAAGATAACATATCTTTGGTGTAGATAGAAGCAAGAGCAACTTCTTCCCAGAAGCAATCATGACATGAGGAGGAAAAGAGAAGCGTACGGACTGTATCCAGGATGTGACTTGCGCTCCGCACGACAATTTTGTTGAAATGTGTATGGACAAGATCACTGAGCAGAAGTACCCTGAGCAAAAAAAAAAAAAAAAAGCTGAGAAACACAGAATCATTATAATCTAGAGTATTATTAATATGTAATGTGTGGATAGTACGGGAGAACTGAGTAGGTATTATTTTGGCAAAGAAAATATAAATAGATGTATATTCAGATCATTGGTGAAGGCCTTCAAATATCTAAATGAACTAAAGAAATAGTTTATCAGCAATGGAGAAATTTTGAGAAAAATGAAGAGCATATTGTTTTCCAAACATATAGTGCATACAATCAAAAGATTCAAGATGTACAAAACCTAAGACATTGTAGGTTTTGTTTGGACGCATGACCTAATCGAAGATGCCATTGATAATCAGAAAGAAAAAGAGGAAACTGCAGCTAAAAGGGACGAAGGAGGTGGAGTCTAAAGGCGACTGAATTCAAATAATCTATCCGTCTTGCGCTCCATTCCAAGAAGCTGACCCATTTGTTAATCCTGAATCTGCACACATAGAAAAAGATAACATTAAAACCTTGCTAAACTATTTTAACGATTTAAAAATATTTTCAACCTCATTAAATTCAAATATTTATTTTTTCTTATAAGAAACTGTTCAATAAAAGTTATCTAAACACAATTAAATTTGCTTATATTTTTGCTTCTTCTGCTTCTATTATTTTATTTATGTATTTATTAAGTTAATATAAAGATTTCAAGATTAAATTTATTAAAAAATAATTTCATGTTATTGTATATATTTTTAAAATATATTAGTTGTGTTCTTTTAGTGTTTTAAAAATGATTGAATTTTTCATATTTAGTGTGAATTATAAATGTGTTTTAGGAATCCAACCGGTGTGATAAAATAATGTTTAGTAATTTTGAAACATTTGATAAAAATAATATTATATTTTTATTAAAAATATTTGTATATTTATATATGTTTGATTGTGATTTGATATTAATTAGAAATGTAGCATTATTTGAGTTTTTATTTAAATAATATTTTAATTTGATATTTATAAGAAAAAATAATATATTTTTATTAGAAATTGATTAATAATAGTGATTTCAAATTGAAATCACAAAATTTATACATTTCTTTTTTAGCTACAAATCCTGTGTTGATTGGATCAAATCAGTATAGTGTTGATTTGATCCAATTAATATATATAATAAATTTATACTAACATATATTAAATAAGTATAACATATTTATAACACATATTATATTGTATTAGGTAAAAATATATATTGCATAATTTTATTATATAGGTTGATTAAGCATCATGCTAATTTAACCCGATCAACACTAAATATACGCCCATTTTATGTATGAAAATAGTGTTTTAAATATGAATATATATATTCACACACAATTACAATGGTCTTTATCTAACTTTGCTCCTTACCTCATAAAAGTTCAATAATAATGGTGAGAAGTTCACTAAATCACAACAAATTTGGGGTGTGTTTGTTTGGGATTTGGATTTTGAATTGGGATTTGAATAGTAAAGATTTTGAATTTGAATAGTTGTATGATGTGATATAAATAGATGTTGATGTGATCTTTTGAATGTAAAATTAATTTTTAACATAATATAAAAAATAAAAAATAAGTGTTTGATTTAATTTTTTTTTTTTTGAAAAAATAATGGGATGAATCCCAAACAAACACACCTTGGTATAAATTACCATTTCAACAATGGGTCATCCCAGATAATTCAAATAGGCCCAAATCAAAGTCGTGTTTAAGCGACTACATTTTGAAATGAAAGCAAAAACTCAAAAAATTCCGTTGCCGGGACTCGAACCCGGGTCTCTCGGGTGAGAGCCGAGTATCCTAACCAACTAGACTACAACGGACTTGCTATTTTAGTTTTGAAAATATTATATATTCTTTAAATATAGAGTTTTTCAAATTTATAGAAACTACCTCATTTTGTTTTAAAAAATATTTGTTGCTGAGACTTGTAGAGTTTGTTTCTTTTTCAAAAATATATATTTTAAAAAAAATTAATATACTACATATTTATTACGGTTATATTATTTACATAATTTTTTATAACTACATAAAAAAATTTTCTTCAAATTAAAACACAACAAACACACCTGTAGTTTAGTTTAATTATTGTATTATATTTAAAAATAATAAGAAATAATTAATTATACTTAATCTCCACCTCACACTTCATCTCCATCGTATCACCTAATTTCTAAATTATCCTACTTAATATTACCCACCTAAAAACCCGTGCGAAAAGCAAATGTTGCACCTTGTTTGGAATGGAGAGAGTAGTATTTTATTAATTAATAGAAATATATTTAAGATAGTTTTAATATTTTTTATGTTTTTGTACTTTATATAT